CGGATCGAACATCTACGGAATCGTTTGAAAGAGGTCTAGCACTACGAGCAGGCGAAGCCCGACTGCGGCCGCAAAGTAGTGGATTCTTATCAGCCTTGATACCACGAGCCAGTAGCATGGCGACCAGCTATGTGTCATGGTCTACGAGCGAGCAAACACAGCCATCGATGTCCCAAGCTCGTAATGGCAAGGACGCCAGTAGCACTCCAGAAACTATCAGGAACGGCCTGCAGGAGACAGGAGTATTCAATGGCACTGGAAAATCGATGAGCAGGAGAGAGACGAATGCGGTGCCAGCCGAGAAATCGAAAAGCCAAAAGCAACACTGCGTGGGCACAGGTGTGTCTGCCCGTCCGGGGCGCGATTCACACCAAGCGAGCCCTGTGCAATTACGGAGTATCATTCGATACCAAGACAAAGGCGTTATGACAGCCGCCGATCTTCCACCCGTGCCCAACGACCAGCTCGAGGTCAAGCCTGCAGAGTTGCCCTCTAAAGGCCATAACAACGCTTTTGATGGTGGAGTCGGTTCAGTGAAAGGCAGCGTCAATACTCAAGAATTGCCCGCACCAATCGTGGCAGCCGACAATGCTGACCAGAACGGACAGGGAATATCAAACAGGCTCCCCCCAGATCAACGAAACGAACAGGGTCTGACAGCTGATCATGCTTCGGAACGAATGCCGGTCAACATCGTGCCAACAATAGTGTCTACTCAGACATCATCAGCTGCAAAGCAGCCCCGGTTACATGTTTCTGTTCCGGACGACGATATCTGCGGGAATAGCAACGGCATGGAGGCCGTTGCTCCAGCCCCCGAAACAGCAGGCGAGGCTCTCTGCAAACCATCTTCGACCATCGATGGACCTACACGGAACTTAGAGTCAAGAGAAACGGCACTTAGATCTCAACAGGCTCAACACTCTACGCCGCTTTCTGTTATAAGTGGTGCGCCAAGTCTAACCAAGATGGCATGGAGATCGAGCACTCTATGCGACGAAGTATTGAATCGGGACCTTATCCCAGGCCCTTCAACCGCCTTGTACGACGAATATACTGAGTTTATGGGCGCTCAGCCGCGTATTCAATTTGGCAGCGGTGAAGAGGATGCTTTCCGTCCACCACTGCCTCTACTGCAAGACCCGCGTTTTCGAGGCCATCGCCATGACCAAATAATGGGCTGCAAGGACCACTCACGACGTATCGATACGCCACTATCTCAGCCTCATGAGAGCTTGGCTGATTTCATTGCACGCGCCGAGCAGGATGCATTCCGAAACCGGTCTGAAGAAGGCGTGACGAATTCGTCCCACGGAAGTGCATTGAATGGTAGACGTCTTGATACAAGGTACTCGAAGACACCTTACATCAAAAGCCCTCTTCCCGACGAACTTGCGGTCTCCGAACGGCAGCCGGAACACTCGAGCTGGCACATTACAGACTCTGCAAACAACGACCACAAGAGAACACAACGATTGCCAGTGGCCGGCTACAACAGAAGCTTCGAAATTGACTTTCTCTCAAGCAGAACACAGCCAAACGAAGCGAACCAAGACGATGAGCTAGAAGAAGGGCGCGAGCTGTGGCCGCCAAACTTATTCTAGACCTCGAGCTAGCTCGGCCTACTCAGGCTGTTGATCCTTCCATTTGGATCGCAGACGAGCCACATCAAGGTCGCACTTTTCTGCTTTTGCAATGATAGCCTTTGCCTTCCCCGTCACCGGCGCATCGATCATCATACCGTCTAGAGTCCAAGCCCCACGACCTGCGGTATTGGCTTTCTCGTCGGCGATGGCAATACGAACTGCCCATTCTACCTCCTTTTCGCTGGGAGCAAACATCTTTTGCACCAGGTCGACCTGATTAGGGTGTATACATTGCTTTCCGTTGAATCCCATTGACTTTCCACCCAGAGACTCTTCTTCTAGCCTCTTCAGACCTTCGTCTCCCTTGTATGAAGTACAGACAAGATCAATGGCACTGGGTAGATCAGCGGCCTTGGCAGCAGTTACGATAGTAGATCTTGCGTAAAGAAACTCGGTAAGCGATGGTGTTCTGGTAAGCGAAAGGTCCAGAGCAAAGTCTTCGGCGGCAAATACCAATCCGCTGAGGTACGGAGATGCCTTGCAGATTTCGGCGAGGTTCATGACAGAGCGCGCAGATTCGATCAATGCGATAATTTTGACAGGGTTTTCCGAGCTGGCAGTGTGTCTCTCGGGGGCGACATGACGCAGCACATCGGTTACGTACGTTAGGTCGGCGGCGGAGTTGACCTTGGGGACGACGATGGCATCGACATTGGGAAGAGACCCGAGAGTAGTAAGGTCGTCCAGTGCAAACTTGGTCTCCACAGCATTGATTCGAACGGCCAATTCGGATATGGAGGGCGGTCGACTTGTCTGGTTGGAGAGAAACGATCGGAGCTGGCCCCTGGCCTGAGCTTTCAATGAGGGAGTCACGGAGTCCTCCAGGTCATATGTTACGTTGTCTGATTTGAGACCCAACGACTTGGTAAGCATCTTTTCCGACGAGGAAGGCACTGGAAAAACATCAGTTTATCAGATGATATGAGTGTTGCGAGTATATTAACCGTAGAGAAGCGCCCGCCGGATGATTGATGAGGACCTGGCAGCCATGATGGATACCGTGGATGTAGTATTGGACTCTAGTGGACAAGAGCTTGGAACTTGATAGTAAATTCAAAACAAAGGCTGACTTGTCAAATTAAGTAAAGTGTAGCTGGCGATGAGAATCTTCAACACATAGTGAAGATACCTATGGAACCATTTACTACCCCTCTGAGCCGGCAGTTCGTGGTTGCTTTAAAGACAGCTCTCGGTAACTCGAACGCCGAGTGGTCCAGCCAAGTCGGCTATTTGGTCGCGAGTTGAGCTTCTGTCTGTCTGATGATGTAACCCAGTCGGCACGGTTTCTGCCGCAGTCGACCGCCCTTGGACCCTTGCAGCTGATGCCAATTCATTGGCCCGTGCAGCTCAACGTCACCCCTTGCGGAACAACTCAGCCTCCACGCACCGAACAGCTTACCGTAGCTTCAACGTGGTTTTGGGGGTGGACACGCAGTGGTGTAGCTGTCCACGCATGCGCCCGCGACAGCTGTGTGTACCGTGTTAGTTTCCAGAGGAGCAGGCATCCCTCTCTTCCCAATCCCTTACGTCCGAACCAAGAACAACAAAATCTCACGAAGCCACGACATGCGCACGACGATAACGAAACCGAGAGTTTGATCGCATTCAATTCAGTCCACCAGCCTAACCTGTCATCGAAGTTCGTACTCGCGAAACAAAGTCGCCCGCAATGGAGTCGAACCAGCAGCAGCCGCAACAAGAGGCCCCCGGCTCCCTCAGCTGGCGGTTGAGCTCGCACCCCATCACCCTATTGACCTTTCTTGCATTTCGCATATGTACGTCTCGTCCAGATTCAACGTGTTCTTCTGTTAGGGAAGATCGGCCAGCTGACAATGGCTCGTAACAGCAAGCGTCCTCGTGTACTTCCTCGGACTATGGATCATCAAGAGCATGTACGTTGTCGCATGGCCCTCTCTCTCCCTGTAACGAACACACGAAGCGAACGTCCGAACCTGCATCCGGTCATGACCGAATGGTTATGCTGTTGGAGAATCGACCCGGTTACTTTCTCACGCATCGATCCTGCCTGACGTCGCATACGGCACTTTGAACAATTGCTGACAGTCTCACCATAGGATCATGATCTTCATCATCACTATTCTCCTCCTCGCCGCCGACTTCTATTATCTCAAGAACATTGCTGGTCGTAGACTCGTAGGACTGCGCTGGTGGAACGAGGTGGATCCCCAGACGGGCGACTCGCAATGGGTGTTCGAGAGCAGCGAGCCAGGAACGAAGACCGTCAACCCCACCGACAACCGCTTCTTCTGGCTCGCTCTCTACGTCCAGCCGCTACTCTGGGTTCTTCTCGCCATATTTGCGCTGGTCAGACTGCAGTTCTTGTGGCTGCCGCTGGTTGGTAAGTTCTACCTGCAGACCCCTTGACCTCAGCTCCTCTCCCAGATTTTGAGTCCAAGGAGAGGCTTCGCAGACCCTGATTTGCTTACTTCTCTGCATTACAGTCATCGCTCTCGTCCTGACCATCATGAACGCCATGGCCTTCTCTCGTTGCGACAAGTTCAGCCACGCTTCTAACATTGCTGGAAGCGCCCTGTACTCTGGTGGTCTGGCAGGGAGCATTGCATCCAATATGGTGGGCCGGCTATTCAGCCGAAGTTAAGTGGACGTGCCCTTGAGACGACTGCGTTGGGCTTTGGAGCACGCCAGGAGAGAGCGTACCACCCACGCCAAGAAGGATCCGATCAACGGAAGGACGTTGCTGGTCCTTGAAGGCCGCAAGAGGGAGAGAAGGGCTCAGTCGCCTTCGGCGTGAGGCTGGTGGGAGCAGACAACTTTCGATATGCTATACCCAACTGTACACTAGACATGTAAGCATGACCCGGGTTTTTGAACGACTTATTTTCTTGGCAAGTGGCAGATATTCTTGTGCTGGACATTAGGGGTCTGTCTCAGTGAACAAAGTGAAACCACGTGGTGAAAAACTCAATTGCAGGCTCACCTACAAACAATACTGCAATCACACAACGGTAAACGGCCAGGCAAACACTTCAAGCATCTTTAATCTGCGGCGGGAATCCTTTTTATCTACTTCTCCCCACTCCACACACCTCAGATCATCCTCTCATACGCGACGACGACGACGACAGGTCAACTTCCGACCGCGGCCTGGGTATCGGCACCCTCTTGGGCAAATGCTTAGCCCGCGTGTCCTTAGACGAAAACGAATGGTGTACTGTAAATTAACAGTGGCTGAATCGCAAAAACGCCCATCAAGAAGGAAAACATCAACAGGTAAATAGCCACACTACAAGATATTCGTATCAAAAATTATGCAACAAGAAAAACCGCACTTTTGGGTGTCTGCGATCTAGATTTACGAGGGCTCTACAACGACTACCGGCGCTGCCCCTGACCGCCGCCCTGGCCAGCTTGCTCAATCGCCGCGTCCAGCGCTCGCTCTTCCTCTTCCAACCGCCTGATCTCATCTTCTGTCATGCCGTCTTCGATGAGATGTGAGACGTTGGAGTTGACGTTGGGAGTGGACGATCTAGCTCCGTCGCGGTTGACGTTTTCGAGTGAGCGTGAGGCGATTGGCGTGTGCTCCTCCTCGCTGTACGGCGGCGCAAACGAACGGCGTTCTGTCGGGCTTGTGCCGGAGGCAAGGGGAACTGCTGCTGCGGCGGCTGCTGGTACTGCCGCGTCATGCTCGGGCTCGGTGAGGTGGCGCTGCGATTGCTGCATTTCTTGTTGCTGATGACCGTCGTCTGAGTACGGGGAATGAGGGGATTCGGTGACGCGCGCGTGATTCTCCTTGTCGGCGAGGAACTCGTGGGGGCCGGAGCCGTATCCTCCATTGTGAACATTGTTTGCGCGGCGGCGGCGACGGAGGAGGAACCAGAGCAGGAATGCAATCAGAGCGACGCCGAGAATTGAGCCGATTACGATGCCGGCTATGGCACCGGCGGAGAGACCACCACCGCCTCCAGAACTCGAGCTTGAGTTTGATGAGCCTGCACCTGGAGGAGTCGTCGATGAGGGAGCGGGTGTTGCGGTGGAAGTCGACGTAATCGAAGAGCTCACACCGGTGGTTGTCCTCGGAGCCCATTCAGAACCACGGTCAATATCCTGGCCGGCAGATTCTGCGTCGCTGGTAATCTTGGACAAGATGTTTTCCTTAGTCTCCGCATACCCCTGATCAATCTTTGAGCCATTGTACACTGTGAAAACACCGCTCTGGGTATATCCAGTGCCGGTGCCATCGTTTTTGGACCATCCGAGAACGAGATACATCTCTTTCTTCAGGTAGGCAGAGACTGCCGTGTCATTCACTGGCAGTGTAAGTCCTCCTCCGGCTGTCAAAAACTCGACTACCACGCGCCAGGGTTAGCACAGCTCAGATCAGTCAAACAACATGCAATCTCGACATTTAAATGTTGCTTACATTCTGGGGATTCGCGCTTGGTGTGGACGTCACGCGATGAGGCAAACAAGCCTACGCGTGGCATACCGGACGACACATTTGGGTTTTGGACAAATTTGATCGTTCCGACAGGACCTTTATCGTCACCCTGGCGGCCCTGCCATGTTGCGTTGACGACCGTGACGTAGTTGCTGTCAATATTCCACTTCACGTCATGGGGATTGTCCCAAGCCATGATCACCCTGTCGACCGATCCAAGTGTACCTGTATCAACCGCGATGGTTGGGCTCTTGACACCGGTGCCCTCGTCCCGTTCAGGCCTCGTTGTCGTTTCGTAGAACGGTGTATTCCCCTTCTCCCCTAGAGACAGGGTGTTGCTGTCTTCGTCTTCATTATCGAATAAGCCCGACGGGAGGGACATGATTGTATTCCTCGCAGACTCCCAGCCCAGAAATTCCGAATGAAGGGTTTTTTTACGTAGTCGTCTCTCGAGTCGAGTTTTCGGTTAACATTCGATATCGGTGATGCTCGTGTAAGTCGGTGGTTCCACACCCGTATGCCAGTCCACTACCCAAAACCGTCTGTCGAAATCCAAATTCGGGTTGTCGTACCAAAAAGCCTTCGAACAGTGAGAGTAGAAGCAAAATAATCGAGAGGGAAGAAATTTGGGAGGAAGGAAGCAGGCTACGGGGGGTGGAGGATGTGATTAGGTAGGAAAGCAGAATAGCAACCCCCGGTTGGCGTAAGACGGCAGTGAGCAGGATGGAATTGGGCAGACAGGGGATGGAGGGGGAACGACAGGCACTAAGAAAAAGCCGACCAGGGTAAGGCACGTTGGGACCTTCGAGCTCAAGGAGCAGTCGGTCTCACGGGGCGGCTTCGCTTTTGTTGGTTAGGTCGGAAAATGGGGTCAGGTTTCTCTGTGTGGTGTTGCTGACGGCGCGGCGCTCTGCGAGACGTCCAGCTGGAGACGCCCCGTTAGGTGTTGGTGTTTGGTGACCAGGGTCTCTTTCTCTCCCGACTGGGATCTACCACGCCAGCTGCAGCAAGCCACGCGCCAAGGCTGCGCCGCGCAAAGATATGTCGAAGGATCCGCGGGTCTGTCTCTCTGGTAATTTCTTGCCTAGGGCCCTGCTCCAACGGCTTTTCCTCGCGGGCGATTGGCTCCCGGAAACCGCACCTTTCTTGCGTGCGTCCTTGATCAAGTGAGGCGCTGTCGATTCCCTCGGGACCTAGTCTTCAAGCAGCTTTGCCAAGTATGTCCGGCGAGCTGACGTTTCTGTCGTTTCTCGAGATGGTTGTTCAGATTCACAAAGAAGGCAGGACTCGGACTCCAGGAACGATGATTATGGTGACGGTGAGATAGACAAGAAGCTTTCGCACTCGGACGTGGACGGGAGGGCTATTGATAGATACCTTGGTGCAAACCCGAGGAATCAATGTCGGTGGAAACTCTGATCAAAGAGTGCCTAGCTAGCTCTTCAGAAAGATAGCAAACAAAAATGGTGCCTGCTCTTTTGATGAAGTCTCCCCACCGTGTCATCCATCCTCTCCCAGGGTTACGAGTCCCCGGCCCCTCGTTAAGCTCCCCTTTCACCATTCCCGCGCATCTGACCCCCTCACTTCCTCCCTTGGTTTACCTGACAGGTCTCTGAATCAGAGACGCAGAGCTTGTGATCCCGGGATCGGCAGATGGCTCCGTTACACCGCGTCAGCGACAGGTCGGAATCTGCTTCTCCACGAAAGGCGGTTTTCGTACAAATGATTTAACGGGACAACAAGCCCATCACGCTTAAACCCCCAGCAGCAGAAGGGAACGGACCCTGTCGGACTCGAGACGTACACCGGAAGGAATGGAGCAACAAGCATCGCGTCCAAAGTCCATAAAAGAGTGGAAGAGCAAGCGTGTAAGGCTGGAGAAAAGCGGGACCCGCTAGCCACCACCAAGCTCTTAGCGCGGTCATGGTCCCCAATCCCCAGCCCCACCGTCAGCAACGAGCTGGCCAATGGAACGTGGCTCAGGTGCTGCTATTAATGAATCTCTCGACAAAGCCAACTCGTCGACCGTCCCTCCCTTCGCCTCTCCCCTGCACCGACAAGCACTTTCGGTGTAGCAGCAAAAGCAACAGTAGCAGCAGAAGCCGGCAGTGGCCAATCGACAGCAACCAAGAAAGCATCACTTGGAGCGAGAGAGTAAGAAGAAGAATGAGAAGAGAGCGTGACATACCCCTAACACAACCGTCAACGGCCTAGCGTAGCAGCGCTAGTGCCGCTGCGGCTGATGCTGGAGGCTTGCATTAGCACGGGGGCATCGCCCACCTCACAACCTTTTTCTCTCTCCCTTGTTGTTGTTACCTGTGGTTAGCCTGGAGGCGCTGTTTGCTGCTTATCTGCTCCTGGACAATGTTTGCTGCTTATTTGCTCTGCTCCGCCCGAACCCGAAACTCAAGTCGCCAAATCTCCGGCTCTCTGACTGGTTCGGCTGGGGTATGAGAAGAAGGATTGGCAGCCGATCATGCTCCAGCGCACGAAGCTTCCAGCGAAAACCGATTGGCAAGGGGGTACAGAGTACGTAGGCTGGAAATAAGCTAAATGCGAGGGAATGGGAAGTGGTTTGGCAAGCTTCTCTGAGTAGTCAAGTTTCAAGCCCTTGAGGCCGATATGTTCGTCCCTGCTTTTAGATTGAAGTTGAGATGATGTATGAACAAACAGCCGGAAACCACTCGTACAGATGAACTTTGATTTCTGACATCAGTCCAGGCGCAAAAAAAATCATCTAGACTTGAAATGAACCGACTCTTCATTGCTGTCCTCCTGAAGTATGTAATCTACTAGCAGTGCCGTCCGTCCGTTCCTTCTCTGCTGCCTGCCGATCAACGACCCCACCACCCCCGGCCGGCGTCGAGGTCTGCCTGATCCAATGCGACCCGACCATGTCATCAACCGGGGCCGCAGCGGCAACCCCCAACACCCAAAAACCTTCCAACGTCGACACCAACAGAGAAAACACCCCCACATATCCGGGCGACTCGCTCATCTCATTCTCACTATCGCCAACTGGTCCTCCCCTTCCTTCGGCGCGCGTCTAATGTCGGTTTGCAGTGCCCACCTCATGCCATCCTGCAGGTTAGCGGACCTCTCCTGCCGCAATAGGGCCTCAAACTCCGCTCTTTTGAAGGAGCAACAAGTTCCAAAACTCGGAGTTCCCAAACTGACCAACCATGGATTTCTGCTGTCTCCGTTCCCCTGCAGACCACAAATCAAAGTGATAAACTTCTCTTCTTTGATGAGAGAATCTAGCTGATGGGAGGGCACTGACAAAGGACAACTCAACAACAGACCAGTGTTTGTTCTTTCTCAGACAATGATGTACCTGTGTTGTCTCGGTCTTTCAGGCTAAGTCTTCACAACCTGGCACAGCATGCGTGACATCCCTTGGTGACCGACCTTACGTGCACATTCGCTTCATCATCACAGATACATAAGGAGGCTAAGTTGGTGCGACTCTCAAAATTGGTTCAGCGGGAATCATCTCCCATCTTGTGCGATTACTCTGCGTCATTGCAGGCGAATTATGTACGCGAATGTTCTACAGTTTGTAGTTTAACCCAACGCTTGACCCAAAAAACACACTCCAGTCGTACAATAGCAACAACCCCCGTAGGTCAGCTGGCTGCATTATCGTTTGTGTTGTTGTCGGTCTACCAAAGCCATACACGCCTTGTCGAGGTAACACGCCGTGGCACTTTGAAAAGCCAACTTGCGCTCGTCTCCTCGCTATGCAAAAGTCATGGAAATGTCCTTCTCCTTGCCAAAATCATCATCATCAATGTCAGCCCACGGGTTGCTGGCGATGGTCGGCACCGACTGCGTAGTCTTCATCTCTGGCCGAGTTGGCGGAGGGTCATCTTTCGGTGGAGGTCGTGGCGCTGGCGGAGGATCATGGAACGAGTCGTCAAATGTCATCTGAATATCCTCTTGTGGCGAGAGAGCCGCGTGATATGGGGACGGGGCGCGCTGCGTTGCTGGGAAGGTTTGACTCGAGTGGAAGGTCGGCGTCCGCTCTGGCGTATAGCCATAGGAGCCGGAAGTTTCGTACGACGCTCGGCCTGGCGCGGCATATGCGCTCTTCGTCTCCCGCAAGCTGTCTCGTGGGCTCAGGGACGAATTTGAAGAGTTAAGGTCCAGCTTCATCGGTGGCAGAGTCGATTTGAGCTCCTTCACTTGAAACTCTTCTGGATCTTCGGCCGGCTTATTCTTCTCCTTGGCCACCTCGGCTCGGATTGCGTCGATGTCAAAGAGCACACCATGGTTGTTGCCCTCCTTGTCTTCTGTTCTCGAGGGTGTTTGCTTACCCTCCTTCGCCATGTCCTCATAAATCTCCCACTTTTCCTTGTCGGCCTTCTTTCCTCGTCCAAATAGCGAGAATCTGCTCTTCTTCTTTTGGCCCTCCTTTTCAAGTTCCTTGCGCGCTTCTTCGATCTCATTAATAAGCTCACGTTGGCGTTCCTGGTGGTTCTCCGGGTCCGGGTCCTCGATTTCGGTAAACTCGTCGCTCTCCACCAGCCAACCACACTCTCGAAGGAGACGAGGCATAGCCTGTCGGTACTCCATGTGGCCCTTGACGATTTCCGTGACGTCAAAGTTCTCAATAAACGGAACTTCCTCAATCTTGGCCAAGCCGGCAACCTTTCTAGGGCCGCCGCTGGTCAGTCTGAACAAGTACGCAAGGATCCAGTCGTTGGTGCTGTATCCATTCACAAATCTGCCTGGTACCACCGTTCGCGCTCGCAGCCATTCGTCCTTCTTGATGATCAGAGGCGAACCAAAAAGGTAGACATTCTGAACGAGGCCGTACGCGCCCTTTCTGGCTAACTCCAAGAGGCAGGAGAAAATCACACGTGCGCCAAGTGAGTACCCGACAAGCGTAATCGGGCGGGTTCCCAGATTTCTGTCAATCAGTGAGTCTGCAAGGATCAGGCCGGCGGCCCAAGCTCTGTCCTGAGAGACACTCCACGGGTTGTCAATCAGATAGGAAAGCTTGGTCAAGACGACTGGCAAAGACAAGGCAGCCATCAGACTCGTGAGAATAGTGCTGGCCAGAACTTGCTGAAGACCTTGGGTGAGAGCCTGGCTTGTGTGAGTATTCGTTCGTCTTCACGTTTACAAAGTGACCAATCTTACCTCTGTGGCAAGAATGTTGATGGTGTCACCCATACTTCTCAACATCTCTGGTTCCCAGAAGACGGAGTAGATGTCGCCCATGATGGGGTCAACAGTACTGAAGGGCAGGCGAACGTCATCGACCTTGCCCGTCATCCATCCAGCCACAGTGACAATCAGGTTGACACGCTTGTTGTTGTGCAAAGGCCGGTACTCAAAAGTCTTGACCGCGCCAGTTCTCCGATTCGCTGCTCGGCCTCCAATAACACTTCCTGAAGCGGCCGCACTGGACGTGATGATAGCAGCGCCACCGACGCCGCCGAGGAAAGTGCCAGTTCCCGTCACTCCCAATGTCGTGAAACCGGCTGCTAGACCGGCTCCGATGACGGGCGCAAGCAGACCTGCGGACAGACCGATGACCAAGCCGCCTCCGACTGTGGCCAAGCCCATCATGACGTATCGTTTCTTGAGAGCCTGCTTTCTCCTGTGCTCCATATGCTCGTCCTCGTTCCAATTTTCCTTCTCGGCTGCCTGCTGCATTTCCAAAGCGTCCGTCACTTTCTTCTCGAACTTCCTAACATCCAACCAGTCAATCTGAAGGCTTTGTCCAACACGCTCCAAGAGGATTCTGGAACGACAGTCATAAACCGAATCCGCAATCAGAAGAAGGAACAAATCACACAACACCGTCCAGCGAAGATCGATGTCGATGTTGGCTGATGTTGACAGCTGCGCCGGAGTTTTCACAGCGGGGAGCTCTTCTCCCTCATGGGTCTCATACGGCGGGGGCGCCTCAGCAGGCTTCTCATCCTCGGGCAGGGCCGGCGAGCTGGGTGGTAGTGGTGTCCGCGGGGACGCTGTGCGTGGTGATGACACGGACAGCGAAGAGCGCGACTCTTCCGCCATCGGGTTCTTCACCCTGGCGTTGGCCATCAGCAATGGCGTCAAGTCAGAGGGGACGACACCGTGGTCGCTTAGCTGCTCGACCATAATTTGCTCCTGGGAGCTGATGTCCATATGGGTATAGAGACGGATCATCATCTTCTGTCCCCACATCTTGGTTGCTTCAGCTGACATGTTGACTTCCTTCTTCGTTCCCCTGGTATGCTCGATGCTCTCGGCTTCCTTGACCATGTGATGAATTTCCAGTCTGGTAAGTCCAACATATGCTATCCTCTGGCCTTCGGTCAAGAGGTCCTTGGTCGCCTGCATCTGAGAAACGGCGTCTCGCGCTTCCTCGTCGTCCTCTGTCATTGCCGTGCTCTTCACGTCCTTGAAAAGATACTGCGTGTTGTCGTCCATGCTCGTTGCCGATTCCGCATCGTCGTCCATAATTACTCGAGTATATCCCTTGCCAGCTCCTCCGAGCCCGCCGTAGCCGTATTTCTCGTTGTCCACGTCCTCCGTGTACTCCTTGGCAACAAGCCTATTGTCTTCGTCGTAAATATCGTAGGGTGCAAATGCCGGCATCTCCTGCCATTCGCCATCGTCATCGTCTTTCTCTTCCTCTTTGTCTGCGGTCAACTGCTGATGGGAGAATTCAGACATGACCACGTTGCTAGCGGTGCTCGTATCTCTGGTATGGGTGCCTCCTGCTGCCTTTGGTTGGGGCTGGTCTGCCTTGTCGACGAGCTTCACGGGTGAATCAGGCCGCTCGTCCTTTGCCTTGGTATCCATTGTCGCCTGCATTTCCTTTGCATCCTCCTTCTTGGCATCGGCAACGCCGTTCGTCGGCACACTATTGTCTTTGGTTTCAACATTGGCAACGGCGGCCCGGGCAGTTGCCTCATCAGCGGTCGGTTGTGTTGGACTTGATGATTTTGTTTCGCTGGGCGTAGTTGTAGTGCCTTTCTCCTTTTGCTCCACCTTCTCTTCCGCGCTCTCGTCGCCATTGATTGTCGCAACGCTTTCTTTGACATCTTCTCTGTTTGCATCTGCAGCAATTTTGTCTTTGATTTCGTCCTTGTCCAGGTTCGAGGTTACCGGGGTCGACGGAGTGTTCGAGTTGCTGCCAGACGCGGCGGCAGTGGCCGGCTGCTCGGATTGCGCGTCTCTGAAGTCGTCCTCGCTGTCTGATTCTGCACCATTGCTGTCTGGTTTCTTGTCGCCGTTGACTTTCGTGTCAGGGTGAGCATCGTTGGCGTCTAGCTCCTTTTCGATCTTTGAAGGTTCGGGATCAGGGTGTTTCGGTTCGGACTGAGCATCGGTCGTCTCATCGTCGTCTTCGGGGGGTGGAGGTACATATCGTCTGATGGGTAGACCAAAATCATCGAATTCAGGCTTGTCGGCCATTGTTGTTGCAGCGGGAGTTGGCTTTTGTGCGGTTATATCTGATGCAGGAGAGCCATTTGGTTTCTGGGCTGACTCCTCCATGTCGGCAGCAGCGGTGGTGGTGGTGGCGATCGTCGGTGAGGGGTTATTAGTGGTGGCAGACTCGCCTGAGCCCGCCATGATGAAAGGATATTTCGTCCCTTAGGCAAGCATGCGAGCCGTGTCGAAGCCAGATTGATAGCAAATCCAGGGGTGGCAGCTATTATGTGTTTTTTTTCCCTTTGTGTTTCGGGAAGTTGGGAAACGGATGGGTCGAGGTTCGGGGGAGGGGGGCGTTTGGCGTTTGACCGGGCAGGGTTCCGTAAGGAGACGCGCAATGAGCCACTGGTGTAGAGCTGACTACTGACTATTCGTTCCTTAGCGGTTCGCGATTACGATTAATACCTTAGGTGGATGCTAGTGCTAGGATGTAGGTGGTGCTGCTGCAGATATGTCGACGCGCACAATGCGGGCGCCCACGGTTGTTTGCTGCAAGTTGACGTGCTGGCTGAAGACCCTTTCCGGCTCTCTACGTGTGGTTGGCCTCAGGGGAAAAAAGACACTTGAGAAACAATCCACGTGTGAGTGGTTTTTCCTTTTGTTTGGCTGGCCGGGTGGTTCTTCGAGGGGAGGGGCCTGCCGGACTTGAAAGGGATGGAGGATGGTTGAATGGAAGATTCCCGGGCTGCAACTGCGAGCGAAACTGACCCTGGAGAGGGAGATCAAATTCCCCATGACGATCCGCTACAGTGGCATTCCAGTGGGGCCGGCCAACGAAGCCATGCGCGCGACCTCACGCTTGTGACGGGAAACGGGAGGCTTTGGAGGGGGCAGGCGGGGGTGCAATCTCCAATCGGTCGCCTGCACCGCCCTGCAATTCTCTGTCATCGGGGGACTGTGCTCGCTGCTGTCAGCCCGATGAGGCACACCGCCAACACACCAACACAGTGATCGTTTCAGTGGTCCAGAGCTCTGACCGCTGCCCAGTCCTGCCGTCCCTCCCGGGGCCTCTGCAATGCTGGCCAACTGACGACATTGGCTGCATGTCATCATGGGCACTCCTGGCTGATGAGAGGCTTCGGGGAAATGTCTTTTGATTTGACTCTTCGGATTCGACTTTGCGGGATGACACTGCCGACTAGCTGCTCCTGGTGGATTATCCAGTTGGCTTAGGGTTGCATAGTGACAACTCACGAGGATGATGCGGGAGAAGAGCGAAGCATCCGTCTCCCAAAGATTGATCGACAGGATGGAAGTCAAGAATGCCACCTAACGGCTCGACTCACTCAACGGAGAGCCAGTGTCAGTTCGAGAAAAGATAAGGGGGCTCAGCAAGGCACGTGGCCCCTGACAAGTCGTACACGAAGCTTTGTCGTAGGAATCTCCCATTAATTGGTATCTAATAACTTTTATTGTTGCAACATTCCAATGCAGTGTCCCCAAACGCCCTTGTAATGCTTCTTGGATCTTTACGGGCTTCCAACAGCTTGCTCTGCCGACCCTTCGCCTTGAGGCGCCGACTCACCCGCCCCAGCACCGGCCTTGTGTCTCCTCTTGCGCTTCTTCTTCGAAGGCCCGTCTCCCTCACCTCCTTCTCCTGCTGCCGCGGACTTGATGTCGCCCTTTGGTTTTTTCTCGCCCTCCTCCTGGGCCTTCTTCGACTTTTTGACAGCCAACGGGTTGGGTCCCTTGGGTCCCCTCTTCTTGGCCTTCTTCTTCTCCGCCTTCCCATCAGCCGACGCGACATCATCTTCCTGGCCTTCGTTCTCGCTCTCGGCGTCGTTGTCTTCGTGTTCACGCTTTCTCTTTTTCTCGGGCCTGACCAGTCCGTCGCGGAACTTGCTCCTCTCCTCTTTGGTCCTGATTTCCTGGCTCTCCGTCGCCATGGGCTCAAGGATCATGACTGAGCGCTTGATGTAGATCTGAGGGACGCCGGGAATCTCGCGGAGCATGCGGCGGACATCCGCCGACTGGCTGGCGACACAGTATCGATGCTTGTTGACGAGGTTGTCCTTGGGGTCGACGACAGCCTTAAGACACTCCATCGTACCGAGCGGTTCGGGGTAGTCTTCCGGAAGGTGGCCGCATCGTCTGCGCTCGAGGGTCTTCGCGAAATCGATAATCTTATTCATCTCGGGCTCGCTCTTGCGAAGGTACAGCTTGCGGATCTCGCATTGCGTAATCACTGCAATGTCATTGTCAGAATAGAAAACAGAGCAAGATCGTAGAGATGGTCACTCACTTGGCTTGACTTTGCCATGCAGCGTCCGTTCGAGTCCAGCGAGCAGATCGTACTTGAAGTTGTGGCAGTCGACCACCATCTCAGCGTCAACGAGACATTGGTAAGGCTCACGGAATCCCCAGGTCAGCGCATACTGGTTCATAAGCTTGCGATACTGCTTGCTACGTTTTCCGCGCATTTTGTCGTCGTTGATGCCTCGTCGTAATTGGGTAAGTTGACTGAAGACCGACCGGCGTCCTGGTTCTTTTGCCCGAGGTGCTGAAAGGGAAAAAAAAAGTTGCGCCGGGATATGATAAGATAAGCGATAAGATAGGACCCAGCTCGAACCCAAGTATGCCCGCCGACTAAGGTTTACCCCACCGACTCCCAGCATCCGGTGTATTGCGCGCGAACCAAGCACAGCAACGGACGTCCACATCGGCAAACATCGTAGATTGGGTCTTTGGTTTTTGACATGTGTGAACTTTATTCCATTTGGTGATGGTAATTATCCGATGCAACTAAACTCAGAAAGCCGAAAAACGCCGAATTTCCCCAAGAAGCCCGCTGTCATTCAACCCCCAGACAGGGCATATGCCAAATTATTGTGAATTTGCCCTTGCGAAGCATTCCCCATGCAGCTCTATTCCCAGATGCGCTCGTTTCGTAGTACCGTCCTTGCTCTCATGCTTCGTGTCTCCTGACCAGCGCGGCGACGACGCTGATGTCGTCTAGTTTGCCTATGGTTGTCAATTAGGCGCTGGGAGCACGGAACAATGCTCGGGGGTAACTCACCTCCTTCGGTTGGCAGGCCCTCCTCGATCGCGTGCTCCATGAAGGGGCTTTCGGCGAATGGGTCGGTCGCAATCTTCTTTGCAGCAGCCACCAGCTCCTCAGCAGCAAGCTTCATGCCTCCGTTCGCGCCGCCTGTGCGGTCGCCCTCCACTCTGTCCGCTCCGGCCTCTCCATTTTCCCAGCGTTGTATGCTGTTCTGAATGCTGTCGATGATCTCGTGCTCCCAGAGGTTGTCGATGACACCGTCGGACATGGCAAGAACCACGTCGCCCTCTTGGATCTCCACCACATCCATGACAGCATTCTTCTCCGGTGTATCGGGGCTGTTCGTCCCAAGTTGCCGAGGGCAATCGAACCAGTGCCACTGCTCCTTTGTCTTGTAGACAACCTTCTCATGCCGCGGCCGCAGAATCATGACTTGACAGTCACCCAGGTTGGTCACATACACCTGGGGGACTGGCTTGCTACCATCCAGTGTCTTATAATGCAGTAGCGCCCCGCTCGCAGTTGTTGTTCCTTGCCAGTCATTCGGGTCCGATGTCGCTCTCAGCGTCTGCTCGTATGCCGTCTGGAGATATGCCACCGGGTTAGGGGTGAAAGCTCCTCCTTCGGAACCGTGATTCGCAGCGTCTTGCTGTACGGCGGTTGCCCAGTAGTGAAGAATCAAGCGCGACCACAGCCTGAGCTAGGGTCAGCTGTTGTATCGGCAAAGAGGCACCATAACCTACCCTGCGTGACCCCTCGGGCGGGTCGACCAAGCGCCTACGCCATCGTTCGCACATATGAAGTTGTCGCTCGCGAAGACGGCATCGTCACCGTTTGTCTGTCCAAGAATGATCTGTCCGTCGACTCTCGCGCGCCGATCACGGCTTCGGTGGTGGGTGCTGAGGGGGTCGGAGAAGGAGCCGGACGGAGGAGACAGGAAGGGCGGCGGAAAGGGCCTCGGAGCTCTCTTCGCGAAGAGCGACACACCGGTCTCGAAGCGGAAGGGTTGCGGTGGTTGATTCTGCTGATGGGCATCGTTCGCAAGCGGCGTCGAGGTCGACAGAGGACGGAGCGAAGTGTTAACGAGAGTCGGGTGCGGCCATGGTGCGCTTCGAGGGCTTGGAGAAGTTCGAGGCACCCTCGGCGGCCGCGCTGTGAAGGGTTTCGTCGCCGACAAGGGCCCAGGTAGCCTCCTCATTCCCACTATGAGGCAGATCAGGCGCCTTTTGCGATGTTGGATCGCAACTCTCCTGGATAGTTGGGCCTGGAGCCGTTATCTTTGGCGCTGGAGAGGTGCCGCTGGGTGGTGGGCATGGCCGGGGTCGTTGCGTTGGTTGGGGGCTCTCCGAACCGGGGGTTAAATTGGGTGTACACGTGCATGCGCGTCTGGTTGGCGCATTTCAGCGATGCAACTCGAGCTCCAGCGGTCCGGGTACGTACAACTTAGCTAATGGGCAGCGATGTTTGGCCGCTCTGGCTGTACTTGGGCTTCCATCCATCCAATCAGTCGACCGAGCCTACATTTCCTAGCTACCTTAGCGACCTAACGCCGACGAGTAAAGAGCTGGCCAACAGACACCTCACAGCTCCTCCAGCGAGTCGATGGGAGCCACATCTTTTCTCCAAACAATGCCCATTCTCTGGGACTTCCTTGTCTTCCAGACCGCATAATCACAAACACGTTTCTCTCGCCAACAATATCCTCCACCGACTAACAGCGCGAAATTTTTTGTTGACGAAAAAATTCTGACTGAAAATTCTGCAACCAAGCAAGCTAGCATTGCGAATATGTGGCAACCAATGCAACCACCTGCAAAAATCGCCATCCCTTCATTAAGACCGAACATGCCGATCTGGCGATTTTTTACAATCCCTGGTTGTTCTGCTCCTCTGGACCCCATCGACATCTCGGTCTTTCCGCTCTGAAGTATTACCTCCCTGGTGTGCCTGGATCGATAAAAACTTTTGCATCTGCCAGACCTTCTCCACCGAAAACAAGCCGTCGGTTGTCATTGCTCCGTCTAAACGTAGAACTTTGGTTCAGCCAAACAAAACGTCTACCGGGCGATCGTCGGTCGAGATCGACAAAGGCTGGCCGGTTGTGGCCGCCGCCGCTTTTCTGCAGCCTCTGCGGCTGCAACATAGCTAAAATAAACACCCCGACTGCCGGCCACCGGACCTCAGCCTGCGTCACACTCTCATGTCGTTCAACCAAAACGAGCTGGAGGGCTGAGATGACCCAAGCCAGCAGCCAGCCGGCTGACCTGACCGTTGACTCCGGCCGTGTTGATCGCCAGGAGAAAGCCTGGCCACAACATGAAGCGAGAGGAACTGGATGAGGCTGACATGACATGGAAGCCCGGAACCAGACCTGGGCTCGTCAACAGGCGCCGATCTTTTTCTAACAATAAACCCTTGCAGCACAGACATCAGGGAACGCAGCGCACTCATTACCTGCTTTCCGACGAACCATGCGGCTTTGGTCTGCTTCTGATCTTCGGTCTTGTCCACTTTGCAAGCACACAATCAAGCAGCGAGGCCATTGTGACTCACGAAACCAGACAGCCAGCGCAGATGCCGCGGATCATGATGGCGGCCAGCCAATTTGAGTTGTTAGTCCTTCCATCTCGGATATTTCACGCCAGGCGTACCACCACGTTGGTTCGCGCCTCCACACATGGGTTGTGAACGACTTGACGCCAGCTCAGCAGGGGTGCTCAGGACCCCGTCCACGGACATGACGTAACACGCTCGAGCGACAGGTGGCTCAGCGTCCATCGCTGGACTCGCACCTTCACCGTCTCTGCAATGACAACAAGCTCAGTTTTATTGTCCCGGCATTGCTGTTGGAGGACGGAGAACGCGCGTCGAGATCGAAGTGCCACGAACCACCAGCCAGCCGTCCCTCCCGTCAGCCAGGCCATGTCTAATTGACATTCCTCGAGGCCGTCGCCAATCATTCATCCACCTTACGTCAGCGGCAGAGACCGAGTCCCGAACCTCTCTTCCATTCTTCGCGAGTGGAACGGATGCTTTAAACCCAAGGGGCGAATGACAGCGCCTTGGGGCGGACTGGTGTCGTGACGAACTCACAACAGGAGGTAATCAACTAGGTCCGCCTGAGCCGCTGTCGGGAAGCGTGGTTGGGGGCGGGAGCCATGCGCCAACAACACACAATCGCATTGTTCTTGTCACCGGATGCCCAGTTTTAACCGCGCAATTTGGCCAGAGGCTATCCGTCCTTCGGCAATAGGCAAGTCGCTGATGCAGACGAACCGGACCCTTGGAGTGGAAAGCGCCCGACAGCACCGCGACCCCGGACGTTACAACGCTCCAATCCATCCAGGTCCGGAGTGGCACAACATAATTCGAGGCTGGGGATTTCGTATCCCACTATCGCCCTGTTCGGTTTCCGACTTGATTGGAATAATCGTACTTCGGTTCGTACTGATTACGGGCCCGGCCTTCTCGGCGAGCGGATGGCAGAGAGCGGGCGGGAACCGCTTTCCTGAAGGGTCCAGAAAGACGCTGAGATATTCTGGACCTTTGCAATTTGGTCGTAATGGCCGATTGACAACCGCCAACCAGTTTCTCACTGGAACACATGGCAATGAGAAGCCATTCATGCCTAGGATCAAGCCATGCCAACGATGCTTCTGGCTCCACGCTTCTTACTAACAACAGCGGACCCAGCCACCTCCAACGCCGCGGCAGACGTGTCGTGAAAAGTGACTGTCCCCGGCGGGACAACCCCTGCTCGTACTGCATGGGAATGGGGCCGGCCAGAGAGGGGGGCAGGAGGTATTGACGCATGCAGGATACAGGCCCGTCATATGGACCCTTTAAGTCAATTTCTTTTTTTCACGTCCGCGTTTTCGGATAAGTTTGGGCTGGGGCGACGGCATCCCTGAGCTCTGGAGGCTGGCCTTTGCTGCAGCGGTGACAGACTGGCGGTGGTTCACAGTCCGAGAGCGGTGACGGCGACGGCACTGACATGAAGTTCGTCAAAAACCTCCCCCGTCTGATGTCGTTGACCTGCGGTGTGTGATGCACTGGGCAGTAAAACAACGCAGCGCTTCATTCTGAAGGGCTTGCAAGTGACGGGGAGAGAAAACCCGGCCAGGTGGGTTTCAAATCGGACACAATGCTGACGGCAGATCTCCTCAGAATGCACTGGGCTCTGCAAAAACCCGCGAGGCAGTGTTCTAACGGCGGCAGCGCTCCCTCCCAGCAAATGGAGGGCACTCTGCGGAGAAGACACAAGACGACGACCAGGGGACCGGCGCCAACGGCCCCTCGTCTTGTCTTGGGTCACCCTCTACCGCCCCAGCCCCAACATCCGAATGAGGCAGGCGAGCATTGGATGTGAGTGAACTTGCAAAGTCAGAAATCATGCCATCATGTTCACGGAGATACGTGTATACAAGGGTTTGGCAGCGACTTCGCTGTTTGGCACCAACAAAGTACGCCCATTGCGCAGTCACGGGCATGGTCTGCAATACAGCATCTTGGACTATTCGTACAGGACCGGGGTTCTCAGCACCCTGAACGGGAGGGCTAACAGATCGCCCAAGAGCCAAGTCGGCACTGAGTTTCCTTCATGGACCCAGCTTCCAATTAACAGCAACGTTGTTCACTGGGTCGCTGGGCGTTTCGAGGAGACGATGTTGAACGGGTACGTGCAGCTCTTGCATAAGGCAGAACGCATGGAATAGACGAAGTTCCGTGAGCACGACCTTCTCGTTATTGCACCGATTTAGAGCGCGTGGGTGAGTGGCAGGGAGGAGTGTGAAGGTGAGTGAGTGCAGTTCCAAGTGAGAGGGTGTCGAGGTGTCTTGGAACGGGGAAGGGGACACAGAACTTCCATGGTCATGCACATCAAAGTACGTAGTTGAGTTGATGACCGCCGCCTGTGACCAAGCGTGCGTCGGTGATGGGATGGATGCTGGCTGCACCACATCGGACGGAACGGAGGCAAGTCAGACTTTGGGGTGGCTGCCACCGCATGTGGTTCGTCAAACAGGCGGAAAGCACTGCGACGCTGCGGCGTGTTTGATTCGTACCATCCGGCTTGTAACTTGGGGAAACGGCTTAAAGCTCCAAGGAAGACGAGAAGTAATGTATCGAAACGCGAGGTTTAGTCAACGACGCGCAAACGAAGCCGGGGCGTTCTTTAGAGTACATAGAGCCTCCCTTTGGAAGTTCGAACACACTTTTTAGTGTTTGCGTTTGTTTCCAGGTTGCATGGAAGAGCTTGTAAGACAACAGACGGGCGACCAGAGCCCAGCTTCCATCCCTTCCCTTCCCCTTTTGACTTGGGACAATTTTATTCGAGTGTCGATTGTTCGAGTCTCCCTTCCTTGCAGTGATCACTTGCGGACTTTGCGGCTCAACCCTTCCGTCTTTTGGTTTAATGAGCCGGACGGTGAGACTGGCGGAGGCTGATATGCGACAGACATCCACCGCAAGGGATCAACGGGGGGAGGCAATACCGAGACCGAACATTGAACTAAAGGAAGGTAGGCGGAGGACGGGAATCGACAAAAGTAAACCCCGAGGCCTCCGATCGTAAATCACGGCATCCGATACGGGCAGACATCGCACACCACATGCGGAAAGGTGAGGAGGAGGCACACTTCGTCGTCACCTTTTTACTGCACAGCCACTCTGAGGGTCACTGGCCAAGTGCGGTTAATAGTAGTAGCCCAGACCCCGTTTATTGGACGAGGTCGAGCTCACTCTCCAAACACCCATGAGATGATGTTGTTGTTGTTTTTTTCTTTGCG